TGGGGTTTTGCCGGTTGGGTCCTCTCGAAACGGCAGTGTGAGGTCCCTCTAGAGTGCGCTAAGCAGGTACTGTCGTGCGTAATGTGTTTTTCCTCATTTACAAGTAAATTATTTTGTTATTTTAGACATCAGTACAAAGTATGTAGACGCCATAATCATCATCCTCGCCACCACCACCACCACCACCACCACCACCACCACCACCACCACCACCACAGTCACCTTTACTACCGTTAAAAGTGCCCGAAGTTCCAATCGGAGTTAAAGACTCTCGACTGCAAAGTGACGTTCGCAACTCTGTCCCGATTTTAGGACAGAAAAGATTTCGTATTGCTTGGTGTTTTAGTCTGGAATTCCCACGATTGTCCACTCGACGACGAATAATCAACCCATGAAGAGGGTGGCCGCCAATGATAAGACAGATCGGGCTGGCCGTTTTCGCCTTAGCCGCTCTCATCAGTCGGCCACGTCCAAAGATTAGGTCAGGAGAATCTGATGTCTGAAAGTGGATCAGTTGGCCACTGGAGAAAATGCTCTACTATTTGGGCCCTGGACCAGCGCCCTGCCAGCGTCCGGCGCACCCTGTCCCGTTCGCTGCTGTGAGCAACTGAACGTAGGTCCACATCATGATTTGTGTGTTGGGACACCCGCGAAACTTTGTCACTGGGCGTGTTGAGACACACACCCACCCACCTCTTCTACCTGGGTAGCAAAGTGCATGCGAATAAGCAGAGCCAAGGGTGGGGTGGCTTCATTTGGACAAACACACCCCTGCCCGCCCCCCCCCTCCCCCCCCCCAAACTGGTCGTCGAAAAGACGCGCGCGCGCGCGCCTGGGTGTGGTAATTCCGCACAGATGCCGACGTCGTGTCTGCTGGCGGTGATGTACTTGTCGTATTCTAGTCAGTACTCCGTCAGACCTGAAAATGGCTTTCTGAGTTGCTTAAAAATTCGAGGCCTTTGGATAAACGGGACGTCACATTTTTGTATTTTTAGGACGACTATGCTGCGTCCAGTGACCGACATAAAAAAAGCCGCAGCGTCGGCGCCAAATTTTGTAAAGTGCGTAGTGGAGATATGGTGCATTTTAGAGGACAGAAAACGACCGTCAATTCGCAAGCCGCCTAAGAGTTACCCTGTGACTGCGATCAAATAAGGTCGAGTTCAAAACCGGAAGGGGGAAATCTTAATGATACTACTGTTGAGTTGCTGACTGAGTTTACCCGAGATGAATCCGTCCACGGCAGCTCTGTGTAAACATTGATTTTAAGTGCTAACAGAGGTTTAGGCGACGTGTGCAAGTGTTTAATCGTCCTCCACACCGCCAACACGGGTACCAGATAAAGGCTCAAACAAGTGTTGCACCGATTTTGCGCAGTTATATTTCGCAACTGAGAGGGTGTTCGGCTCGTCAGTGGGTCCCCCACTGTTGTGGTGCCTACTCTAGTTTTCAATGTTAAGTTTTCTTTATGTATCTGGGAATAAATGCCCGGACTTGGAGGAAATCCTTTGGTACAAACGCTTTTAGACTCGGTTCAACAGTTGACATGAATATTAGAACTGAAATCCACCAGAAGCCACCATCAGTCAAAGGCCCACATGCGAAGAATAGTCTGAGAAAGTCATCAAGTGCATTCAACATTAGGCATAAACCCTCCTTCCTCTGTCCAGTTGAGCGGTTATATTTCGTTCGCATCCTCTGGAAGCTCCTTCATGAATTCATAGATTCGAATAGATTGGCCCTGTATCGACTACCCATAGGTGAAAGACGAAACTTGGGTTAACTGTATTCTCCATGAACCAAACCAATTCACTTTTCAATATTGGCCCCGATGGTGGTCCCGCACTAATGTAGCAAACAAACGCATTCCCGGCACATATAAAAATGATCTATAACGACAACAGGAACATTAGGGTGAATTATAGACAAATTATGCCCTCATTTTTTACAAATGCAAATTATGTTACTATTCATACTAGCTGGTAAGAGCATCAGCTTCAGAATACCAGCCAAAGCATCTAAGCCATTTAATCACAAAAATTTTTATGTCAAGCAGGAAACAAATAAAAGAGAGGGAAAAGGAAAGAGAGAAAGGGATACACTTTATTTTGAGAGTATCATTCAAGATTTTCAGCAACAATGGCTCCATTCATTTTTGGATTTGCAAAAATTCTCACTGAAAAATGCAAAAGTCAATTTGGCGAGCATACATCTGCTTTCGGTAAATTCTCTTCAGGACTGAAGTAATTAAGTAAAGGATACGGACAAGTAGATAATTATGCTGTAGCTCGGGTTTGGGGAGGGGAGGGAAAGAGTGAAACACCACAATTCCAGTCAGCGCCAGGGAGAAGGTGGGTCCTGGCGAAGGTAATTTCATGCGGGTGGCTGGATTGGTGGCTTTGAGCCATGGCAACTGTGGGACCTGTATGAAGTTCTTCTGTGCGCATAGGACCGGTCCGTGTAGCCTGATTGCAGCCGCCTCTGCCGTAGCCAACAAGCGCTGTCCAAGTAGTTTTGGAAAGCTTGATAAGATCTTGAAAATCACTCTAAAGGCCTCTCTGGCGTCTACACGGCGGTTTGTGTCTACCATGTGCGCGAGGATCGAGCTGTTGATGTTCTCTATTTGACCGTTCCCCAACCATGCTGGAAGACAAACAACTGGTAGCTGGTGGCAAACAACTACAGACCAATCAGCCTTACTTCAATTTGCTGCAAAATTATGGAGAAAATAATAAAGCGAGAAATAATGAACTTCCTAGAAGAGCATAATCTGCTATGCGATGCCCAGCACGGCTTTCGTAGAGGCAGATCATGCATGACGAATCTACTATATTGTTTAGATCGCTGGACCCGGGCAGTCGATGGCAGCAATGCAGTGCACGCAGTCTACGTCGACTTTAAGAAAGCATGCGACAGTGTACCCCATCAGCATCTCCTGTACAAATTAAACCGAACAGGCCTGAGGGATAATCTCCTGAGGTGGATACAAAGTTTCTTGATCGGTCGCTCTCAAATCGTCCACGTCGGTGACAGGCAGTCGGCGGAGGTAGCGGTTGAAAGCGGTGTTCCACAAGGCTCTGTTCTTGGCCCTACCCTATTCATTATATACGTCAACGACTGCGTCAGTGAATTGAATTGTGATGTCGCCATGTTCGCTGATGATGTTAAACTTTGGAGCGGCATCCGAACTGAATTTGACGAAGAGCGCTTGCAGGCAGACCTGACCCGACTCGAGAAATGGTCACAGGACTGGCTGTTGCCGTTTAATGGGACTAAGTGTAATGTCCTGCGAGTCGGCAGGACCCGATCTCTGAACCGGAGGGTTAACCACCTAAACGGCGTACCATTGCAGGAGGTAGACGCCCAGAAAGACTTGGGGGTGTGGGTAACGGCTTCTCTAAAACCGTCGCTTCACTGCTCCAAGGTAGCCAAGTCTGCGATGTCAGTCCTTTATCCTGTTAAGAGAGCTTTCTCTACCTTCGATGAGGACTGCTTCGTTAAAGTCTTTCGGACTTTCGTACGGCCACAGCTAGAGTTGGCTATTCAGGCGTGGAAACCGTGGACCTCTAAAGATCTCAGCATCCTTGCGAAAGTTCAGAGGCGGGCAACCAAACTCGTAAGTGGACAGGGTTCACTACCCTATGAAACCCGATTGTCCAATCTCGGCCTCTTTCCACTGAGTTACAGACAGCTAAGAGGCGACCTTATACAAACATTCCGTATACTGCGCGGCCAGGACTGCTGTCTCGTACCTACTGATTTCTTTGAGTTAGCGACCACAACGAACCTCCGAGGACATCCACTTAAACTACGCGTAACTGGTGCCAAGCTGGACACTCGGAAGTTCTTCTTTTCAAACAGAGTGATCGAGGCCTGGAATGCTCTGCCTGCAGGTGTCGTCATGTCCACCTCCGTCGAGGCTTTTAAGCGCAACTTGGACCAGATTGCCACCAATCGTCATAATGCCACCTGAGAGATTGTCTAGCATTTCGTTCTAACAGTTTATTAATGTTGTTATATTACTTCCTGTATTTCAGTAACGTTTGTTTTTTAATATTGTCCCATGTCTATTGAATGTGTGTTGGCATTCAATTCGTCTCCCTCCGAAACTGAGATAGCACCAACTATCCCTAGACAGACTACTGTACAGCACATTTAGTAACGTTAATGTTTTTAACTCTTGGAACAATTCGTTTATCTGTCTGGCTTACAAAACGTTGCCAATCTGAAGAAACTCTGTAGCCGTTTGATGTTTCCATTTTCAAATTTTTTTTATTGTTCGCCTCCTTGTAACAAATAGGGAGTTCAAAGGTTTAAAACCTATATTTCCCTCAAATAAACTGAACTGAACTGAACTGAACTGATTTGAAGACGAAGGCAGGCTCTCCGAAAAAGGTTTACCATGCTTCGTCTTCACGTGCTGGAAGATGTTTTTTATTCTTTTGTACAAAAGCCGGCTCGTGCGACCAGCATATTCATTTATGATTAACTTATCGTTTTTAATTAGAGCAGAAAAATAGCCGAAGAATAATAAAGAATGAGTGGGAGAATGCAGGCATCTACAAATCTCCAGATTGGTGGTTGAAGTGTGTGATAGGAACGTAAACGACGTATGTAATAAATGAGTTTACGAATTTTCGTGAGAAGGATCTCAATACCAAGGGAGAATGAGAGATTTGAGGAAATAAAAACAGCAAGGTATCGGAAAATGGATCTCTCGTTGGGAAGAATGCCCGAGGATTCAGGAAGGGGAGAGACTCACAATCGAGACACTCGCACTGAATTGATCTCTGACTGCCTTCAGTAATGCCCCCTGCTGTCTGATAATACTAACAAATGTTAGGAGCGGCTCACCGGTCGTTCTTACGGAACTCACTCGTTCCGTTGTGCCTTACGGGCTCTCTCTCGAGCCCAACCAGCAGCCGCACAGCGGCACATCGTATTGGCAGTATGTTATTACCGACGGAGACAAGGGAGGCCGGAATGGCCATTTCTGTCTTATGAGCCGTCGTCAGCCAGCCATACCCAAGCCCGAAGGTTGGAACACCTGGGACTCGATCCCGTGACCTATTAGTTATTTAGAAGTCAAACGCCTCTAACCACTGGGCCATGGGCCCGTTACCCTGTCGGTTTAGATCGGGAATATACGGTGGTAGGGGGTGCTCACCGATCGCTCTTACGGAACTCACTCCTTCTGTTGGTTGGGCTCGAGAGAGAGCCCGTAGGGCACAACGGAACGAGTGAGTTCCGACCGACAGGGCAACGGGCTCGTGGCCCAGTGGTTAGAGGCGTGGACTTCTAACTAACAGGTCGCGAGTTCGAGCCTCGGGTGTTCCACACTCCGGGGTTGGGTGTGACTGGCTGACGACGGCTATTAAGCCGGAAATGGCCATTCTAATCTTCCTTGTCTTTGTCGGTAATAACATACTAACATATGTATGTCCTTGAATGCGGTGTGGTGGCACGCCTAGGTGCGGGTTCGGCCGCGCCAGCCGCCCGCGTCCTCTCCTGCCTCCGGCCTCTTCACACCGAGTCCAGGTGGGAGAGGAGATGAGAGTGCGATGGAGGCAGCGCAAGTCACCATGCTTGCTCCCACCCTGCTGTGGAGCACACAATAGACATGACGGTCGAACTGCCAGTTACGTGTTGAGATTGGCCCTCTGAAAATGTTGGTCAACTGCCCGGTCAACTGGTACCTCGTTTCTCTGATCGATTTGTCTACTAGGTATATTTGTGCTTTGTTACAGCGGGAGATAACACTATAAGAGTGACATTTGAAACTCTTTACAGCAGCTTTAGTGAATTCGGTGGAAAATTATCCGGAATCCCAGGTAGGATATTTGGTTTGCTCGTAACTGGACAAAGTCCAAAAAGTCGTCGCGCATTTCTTTTAGTAAATGGGATGTCTTTTAATTAGCTGTCTTTATGACATGACTAACGATTTACGTATACGTAGCAGTCGCATTATGAAGAAGAAAATGAACTCAGACCTGGGAGCTCTACTGAACTCTTTTTAAAAATGCGCTGCGTCAGTGCTCTTGCATAGCTCAAGGTCATTCGTCTGCGCTGTAGGTCGCATCTGAATAACCGCAGCAGGCATCTCCACTTCTGTCACCTAAATGCATTCTTTAAGTTTTTTTTAAACTGTCAAGTCCTTGATTACTGAGACTCCGTATAAAATAATCTAGTGGTGTCATACTCAAAGAGCGCGTAGTTCGAAGTTTAAGTAATTTATGCTTAGTTCTAGGGGTGGGAAGTAGCCTAATGGGGTATTTTCGGGCAACCTTGACAAAATGACGTTGTGCTTTATCTTACTGAAACACTAACGTGTCCACACTATTATCAAAGGTGACAGTGGTTTGAGAAACTGACACAACAGGGGGGTAGGAACGTCCCGTAATGTAGGTGGCCTAGCGCTTGTAGGAGTCAGCTCCCTCGATCGCCGCCATATTGTCATGCTGCCCTTCTGTCCGCCTCACGCTCTTTGACGATCGGATGCTGGGACCAAGTAAGGCCTGTTGTTAGCCTCGCAAGAGCTCGAAGCGAATCAACGTGGCTTCCTCGCTGATTAGCTACAGAGAGACACAACTCAGACAGATCAGAGGCGTACGCACGCACCCACACACCTGAATGAAGGTTATTTGGCCAGCTATCCAAGAAGTGTCTAGTAAACGTACCCAGCAGGAGGGGGGGAGCACGGTCAGTCCACCTGCCCACAGAAAATAATTTTCGAGTTTTTGGGTATGTAGCGGCCGCTCCAGCGCCCCCTTCTCCGGCTCCATTTTGTCGGTTAATGACTGCGACCACCGTTGACAGGCCGTTGAGACACAGCCACTACCGCCGGCTAGAACAGGGGCATCTCCTGTCCAGCTACAGTGACTCCTGGCTGTCCTCACAAACTTTTATCACTTCACGCGCATCGGACGACCTGGCTGGATACCCGTGAACCCCTATGAGTATGTGCCCCCTATTCCCCTCTAAACCGTCCAATACATGACTAACACTTAGCCAGTCACCCCCCCCCCCTCTTGCTGACGCCGACATTCACTCCTGCGTAAACAACACACTGCGACTGACGCTCTCCGGGAACGGACTCTTAGCTCTGACACAAGCAAACAGCCAACTCACGGCAATCTGCCATGTGTACAAAATAAATATGTTATCACAGCTCCTTGACTTCTGACATAAGACGGAACGAAGTTATTGTGTGCAGTTGCAGTTGGTCCTACATCCTTGACCGCCACAGGTACTCCCAGATATCTGCGATCGGAAAATAAGTGGCGTGCGCTCATGCACACAGCACAACTGCCTCCCCCCCGCACAGACGAGGCCTAACTGATGAGTGAACAGCACGGTCGAACAGATATTTCATCACGCTTTTGCCACTCGCTATTCACGGTTGGCGTAGATAAGGTATCAATCTGCACCGGATCGATGTCCGGCATCTGTTTTTTCATATATGAATAAGCACTCACTTTACCCCCACCGAATGTAGCGGGTAATGATAATAATAATAATACTAATAATAATAATAATGATGATGATGATGATGATGATGATGATGATGATGATGATGATGATGATGATGATGATGATGATGATGATGATGATGATGATGATGATGATGATGATGATGATGATGATGATGATGATGATGATATGATTTCGGCTCTGCGATGTGGTTAGCTCACCATTTAGACCTGAGTGGGCACCCTAAAAATATTAATCCCCTTTAAAATACTGTCCATTAGATGATGCGCACTTGTCGCAACGGGATTTTCACCGAATGAAACGCCTTTTTTATTCTTGTGAACTAATGTTGATAAGTGCCTTCAGCGGTTTATCCGTGACCTCTTCCACGTTCTGAGAGCGCTCGCCGCCACGGCTTATCTTTATTCCCAAGGGGGGCTAGATCGCGTGAGTGGGGGAGGGGAGAGGAGGTGAGCAACCGTTGTCATGCCGTGCTCCGTCAAAAAAACTGGTTGATTTTAAACGCTGTGTCAGCAGACACGTTGTCATGATGATGCAACCAGTTCCCTCGATCGCTACAATTCATGTCCTTTTTCCTCACTGCCTCGTGCAATCTCGTCAACACCTTTCGATATTAGTGTTGATCCTTGAGGAACAAATTCAACGTGAACGACTCCTTGGTTGCCGAAAACCGGACAATTATGGACTTCAAATTTGACTTCACATGCCGTGCCGTGGAGAGGCGGTTTGGTAAAACAATCATTCTGTCCCCTGCAATGTTTTCTTACGAAGGCTACTTGGCCAGCTGAGCAGGACGAGTGTCTAGTAAGCGCGCATAGATGAGAGGACAGCACTGCCAACCCAGTTATTTACAAAAAACAATTTTCGTTTTTTTGGGTACACCCTTGTGCCTTCAAATCCAGCGCCGCTGGCCAAATTCGCAAAGCCTGTGTGCCATTTGGCAAATGGACCTCATAAACCCTGCCCGCTGTGAGAATAAACTCGGTAGCGAAGAGGGTAGGCCCCGAATGGGTAGCGTGAGGGCTGTGGAAAGGGTGTGAAATCCTAATTTAATGTCATACGGAACCCTGGAACTTGAGAGAGAGAGAGAGAGTCGGTGATCGAGCAAATGACCTCTGTCTAATTTGTTTACTCTCCAAGTCCGACGGTAGATGCCTCTATGCCAGCTGACTAATTTGATAATGTCTGTGAACTATATTCCATATAATAATTTGTATGAGATGGCAAAAAGTTCAAAGAAGCCCGGAGATTTTCAGAAAAACCTTTAAGTCATTGACATAACTATCTTTGCATTTTGCGACTCTTGCCCAACAGGATACAAGTTTGTAAACCCCCTTTACGTGGAATGTTTTGTCAGAGTTTTCTACTTGCAGACAAACTTTTTCGGGTTCTGTTCGGATGTTCACATGAATTCGACAGCTTCAATAGAATAACCGTTTAGAATTTCCAAACCACAAACATACACTGTGCAATGTGTAAACAGTAGCGAAGAGGCGAGTTCCAGGAAGTAGCCGCGAAGATGGGGACACGGTCGCTGGAACAAGGGCTTTATTAGTCTGACGTTCCGGATTCTCAATCGAATCAATCACCAGAGACAAAGTCAGCCAAGGGTGGTGGATTAATGGATTGCCCAGGTGCTGCAGTATTCAAAAGATATATTTACCAGGCCGCTACATGCCCATCGCGGTATATATATATTGATTGATTCATCAAACTCCCGGCACAGGTGCTGTCTGGGAGTCTGTCCCTTCTTCAAATAATTTGCTGTAAAATTCAGGCGCGAGCGTCTAGTGCCAAGTTAAGGGGATAACCGACTGGATAAAGGACCGGAGAATGTGGGGGCGAGGTAGAGCTTTCGATTTCTGTGCCCTAAGTTGTTCTCTAGTTGGTTATACTATATGAGGTCTTGTATTGTTCCGCAATAATAACACTTTCTTGCGGCTAACTGGTCCTAGCTGTTTCTAAACTACCACAATATTTACAATTTGCCGTTGCATAGAGTGAATCTCAGTAGTAGATGTTAAGTTCTTGTCGTGGAAGACACAGTTCACAATGTGAGCAGCAATTTACCACGCGCAAGTCCTAATTTTCTTGAGGTGAAGCGTGCAGCTCTGGATAGTACAGTGCGTGACCGATGTCATCAAATGTTGGCCAAAATTCTGGAATGCGTTTCCGATTAGGAAGGATTACTTAAGTGGGGTGTTAAACTGATTATCATGTAGCATAACCCTATAACATTTCGGACTCGCCAGAATGTCGGCTTTTGAATGCACTTCCTTTTGACCTCCTGCAGAAACCATACTCGGTAAAAAATTACTACTTAATTAGCATGCATTTTTCCTATTGATTTTCGATGGTCTTATAAATTTAAATATATTTTATGGAGAGCATGCACAAAATACGCTTTCTTTTGCTAATTTCGAAGGAAATCACACTGTCTTCATATTTTATGTCCGAAGAAAGTGTTTATTTAGGTTCTTAAAAAGTTTCTAATTATACGATTTTTAAGACCGTGCGATGTCCATGCATGCAAGACGGCACATCTCCGTTTACTAATGTCCCTCATGAAATGTACAACGCAGTCCGGATCCATTGCAAAATTTCATGAACTCTATGTGGTGTCTTCCTAAAAACATAGAGAAATATATGATTTTCCTTAAGCGGAAAGCGTGCACCTTGTAGAACAAAATTGCTTGACGCCGATGCAATGGCAGATCAGGTTGGAAAGTATTCGGGAATTGGGAAACTTTTTAAGAACCTAAACACACACGTTCTTCGGACATAAAATATGAAGACAATGTAATTTCCTTCAAAATGAGCAAAAGAAAGCATATTGTTTGAATGTTTTGCATAAAATATATTTGAATTTATAAGACCATCGAAAATCAATAAGAAAAATGCATGCTAATTAAGTAGTTCTTTTTTACCGAGTATGGTTTCTGCAGGAGGTCAAAAGGAAGTGCATTCAAAAGCCGACATCCAGAGGAGTCCGAAATGTTATAGAGTTATGCTGCATGATAATCAGTATAACAACCCCACTTAAGTAGTCCGTCCTAATCGGAAACGCCTTCCAGAATTTTGGCAACATTTCATGAGATCGGTCACGCACTGTATGACGGCAGCCAACAAGAAATTCGTTAGTTATTGCAGTAGGAGGTTCGTTTCCCATTTCACATAGGCAACCAGTTGGAAAATAGAGTGCATAAGGGACGGGGACAAGCTTGTTTTCCCTTCATACTGTTTGCCGGACCCATTTGTTCAGCTTCCGAGATATGTGATTGTCTCGTTGTATGCTCAACAGCGTCTCCCTTCTCGCTATCAATGGCGGAGGGTCTTTCTGAACGTGGTGCGTCTTCAAGGCCGTTTCCAAACCACTTCCTTTCAACACATCTGCTACAGATGCCAAGGCTAGCTTAAGACATGCTTGTACAGTCTCTGACCTTAATTTAATATGCATGGATTAAACCACATTCAAGGAACACTTTTAAAAAGGCGGAAAATCCTAAATCATGCGAGAGTGAAACAACGAGCTCCAACTAACTGATGAGGGTCTGCGTTATGTGATATGCAGAAAAAAACGGCCCAGGCAAGTCTGAATAAGTTTCATTAAGTCACGGTATCGGACCATAATGAAAACCGTACGAACCTTTTTCGTTAACTTATACTTTCATAACACATCATCTTCATCGAGTCGGCAAAGCATTTACTGGTACCAGTAAGGTCAAGAAAAATCCTACAATCAGAAAAAGACAGTCATTCGTCAACGAGCAGTCAATACAGACATCTCAGTGGGGCGTATGTCAAATTTAAAAGGCTGCAGTTATCGGTAATCATCTGGTCATTCCCTTTGCAATGAGCGTCCATGTGGATACTGGACAACCGAACTGTGTTTTCTCATGCGGTATTAAACAGAACTTGAAGAAGACGACAAAACTCATTCGTCTTTTAACCTACGTTGGTTTTCATGACGAAGTCTGCATTACAATAATCCATCCCTATGCACTGACGAATTCCAAGAAAACCACTGGTAGTATAGAGTGAACATCGAAACTCGGCCGAGCGAATTATGCCACTCACTTCCGCAGACCGTTCCGGCTTTGCTTATCAGTTGCACGCAACTTTATATTTTCTTCTGATAAAGGCATATTTCATGTCCCTGGTGGATGGTTAACGCTGAGTCGTCTTCAAATAAAATTATTTTATTCTTCCTAAATTGACACAAAGGCCGCAAATTGCGCAAAGGCTACAGTTGGCGTTTCACTGTTTCAATTTCTAAAACTAGGCAACATCTAAACCGTTTGTGACCCGCTGTGAATTGGTTCTGCGTCTTAATACTACATCAAACTGTTAAAGTTGAGTTTACGTAGCGAAAGTGGATTGCACTATCATTTGAGACGACAAACTGTATTAAAAGGTGGTGGGGAAACCGACCTCCGCAAATTTCTGTCTCTGACTGATTTTCTAATGCATCCTCCAGATTACAGAATATTTTTCTGTGGGGATGATACAGGACTGACAAAATTATGTTTGGTTGTAGGTTTTCTAATTTCCACTCTTTCCAGGATATTCTTGCGCCTCGAACAGCTGATTGTGCACAAATGGCTAGAATGAAAAAGTTCTGAAAAAAATTGTTACCCTCGAACAAAGGATATAGACGGTGCATGACGCTCGAATCATTGCTGATTTATGGTTCATTTGACAAGATAGGTTCCCAAGGTTTCATGGTCGTATGTGAACTAGTCGTAAACACTGTGCTTACTTAATAATTTAAGTAAGCGTTTTTGTTTATCTTAACGATTTAATGTTCTGCATGGACCGCGGTGCAGATACCAGGTGTCTGGGACTACAATTGTTGAAAACGACGAGATCCAACGCTGTTCAGCGTAGTTGTCTCCACTGTGACTTGCACGGAAATTCGTTTATGATGAGGCAGACGTGAGGCACATGCCCTTCATCCTCTCCTCCCACAAGCAGCTTACTTCGACAGCAAGCAAACGTCAAAACGAGCGGAGATGGGCGTGAGTGCAGGGTCGGATAAGGCTAGATAGCCAACTTATGCGTGCTACATACAACGTAACCCCTAAATCCAAGTGTATCAGGTTTGTTCGGAGAGGACTAAAATCTCATCCAATTGAAATGGCGGCCTTTGTCCGCTCTTTCTGCGAGCGTCCGTAATGGCGTATCAATTAAGCAAA